CCAGGCACTTTTTTAGGTAATTGATATACAACACTGAATAAAACACAAAAACTCCACCCTCACGGAGCTTACATTCAGAGAATGGAAGACGTGATGAACAAGAAATCAGTGGTTAAGTATTCAGAAAAAATATCATAGAGGGCCATGGCCCACTGACAAGCATGGCCAGTGGGTTTAGACTGGCTAGTCAGGGATTGTCCCTGGGAAGGGACCTCAATGACAGAGGGATACAGTTATGTGATGATCTGAGGCTGAGCATTCCAGGCAGAAAGAGCAAACACAAAGATCCTTGGATGGACATAAGCTTACTGTGCCTCAAAGATCAAACAGCATGAACACTGTGGCAAGAGCAGAGTATGGAAGATTTGTATGCAATAAAGTCAGAGATGAGGTGAGACCAGGTCAGATTATGCTGAGTCTTTTATAACAACAAGAAAGAATTTTGGTTTTACTCTACATATTCCATGTAAGTGGAAAGGAAAAGCATTCAAATTGTACATTCTACAACATGTACAATTTGAAGGAAGGGATTGAGTGATTTGATGTGGCTACTATGGGAAGATATTTAGAAGGGAAAAACTGGAAGAGGAATACCCAGAAAAAAGAGCAATTGAGAGTAAAGTCTTGACCAGGTGTGATTGGCAGAATAATGTCCCCTTCACATCCTAATCCCAGGTTCTTGTGAATATGCTTTCCTGTTTGGTAAAGAGACTATCAATGTTAAGGATCTTAGGATGGGGAGACTATCCTGGGTTATTCAGGTGGACACAATTAATCACAAAGCTACTTCTAAGAGGGAGGCAGAAGGCTCAGCATCAACAGGAGAAGACATGATAGTAGAGGAGGCTGGAGTGATGCAGGAAGGGGGCCAGAGGTTCAGGAACACAAGTGCCCTCTAGAAACAGATTCTCCTCCAGAAAGAAAGGAATCCTGCTGACACCTTGGTTTTAGCCAGTTTGACCTTCAAGTTCAGAACTGTAAGGTAATAATGTGTGTTGTTTTAAGCAATAAAGTTAGTGATGTTTTGCTAAAGCATAAATAGGAGATGCACATATGATGTCAAAAGGGGAATAACCAAGAAGAAGGGCAAAGGTGGAAGGAAGCAGAAATTGTAGTCAAAGAATAATATGTCAGAGTTTATGACTTCATAGATAAAAGAAATTGTAGTCAAAGTAATACATCAGAGTTTATGACTTCRTAGATAAAATAAGAGGTTACTATTATTAGTTTTGCATATGTAATAATAAGACTTTTCAGGTTTGGGGATTAGCCTAAGGTTCTCACTCACAAATAAGGACTCAACTGAAGGTTGATATAACTGAAGAAGCTAAAGAATGTTGAGTCTAGGCTTATTTATAATTTTACTGAAATATTCAGTATAACTGGAGCTAGGTGAATGAAATTGAAGCAGTCAAATGCCACAGTCTTCAATGAAGGAGTAATTAGAAGTTTTTAGAGGATACCTCTGAAGATGGATACAAGAAAACATAATCATACAGAGACTCAAATGAGAAAGAAGTTTTACATGAGGATCAAAAATTAAAAAAAAAAATAGCTGTGTAGACCTAGAATAATGTCAACACCTTCACTGGCTCATGCGATATGGGGTTGAGGAACAATAACATCATAGGCAAAGGTGACACAGAAAAAGCCAAATAGCTGGAAAGCAAATCATTACACTCTGATATCACAAAGGCAAAGAGAAGATTCTAATATGATGGACCATGTCAAGGGCTATAAATAGGTCAAGATGGAATTTTTAAATGCCCACTGAATTTCGTGAGTGTTGAGGACAGAAGTCAAATTTCTATAGGTTCAAAACTAATACACAGACATTATTATCTTATATACATACATGGTCGCATGACTGATGTGATTCTACAACATGTACAATCAGAAAAAGGAGAAATTATACCCCATTTATGTATGATATATCAAAATGCATAAATGCATTCTATTGTCATGTGTTGCTAATTAAAACAAATTTAAAAATTAGATATGTCAAGATCATTGTACTGTCATGCGTAACTAATTAAAAAACAAATAAAAAACTGATAGGAAGATGTAACTGAGATAGAAAGCAAAGAYAACTCTTGTACATGGTTTCAAGGGCATTAGGAAGATGAAAGAGACTTGATGGAGCAGAACCCACTTCAGGTACAGAGACTGAAGATAAAAAGAATGATAATGCCAGGTACTTAAGAAGGCGAAAGAGATGAGAGTCACAATCCAAGTGAGTGGATAGTTTTAAGAACTGGATAGTCCCTCTGTCTTAACAAGGGAAACAGAGAGGGAACATTTCCAAATTCAGGTGGGTTTGTAAGATTATAGCAGTGGTGAAGGTCAAGGAGTGGTTTATGCCTATAACCAGAAAAATCACCCAAGTTGGTAGAAGGACCAGGAAGGGAAAAGTATATACTGAGCCAGGTTACAAGATCTTCACTAACAGGTGGGCAGAAGGTAACGGCATTTAACAAAGAATTCTTTATAAACAGACAACAGTTTAACCAATCATAAATCCCCATAAACAATCACAGCTTTTAGAAGCAACAAGGCATGTCTGGACAAAATCTGGGCCTGCCTCYTTGCTAGTAATGTGACTCGGTGACTTTAAATGCATTATTTAACTTCTGTGAATCTGTTTCCACATCTGAAACATAAGGATAACATAAGCTCTTACATCCTAGGGTTATTGTGTGAATTAAGTCAGATAATACATGGGGAGAGTACTTAACAAATGCCTGGTACTTAACATTGATAGCTATTATCTATTTAGAAAAAAAATAATATTTCAATAAGATATATACTGTGGAGAGCTCAGAGTTGAATCTGCAGTATGCTTCTGGCAGGAGCGTATAATCTTTAAGGAGTTCATTTTGTACAGAATCTGCAGCCCAGTTTTTCTCTCTCCTTCTCCTAATTCCTCTACTTGTCCTTTTCCCCACTTGCGTTCAGTTTATTCTACTTTTGTGTTTCTATAAATGCTGAYGTGAGGCCTGCTATAAATAAAGCAAAGACCAGTAGGAAGTCTTAAATCTGTTCCTTATTTCTTTTATCACTTTCTCAAAATTGATAAAGTTTCATAGTAAAAATAAGTTAACAGACACCATGAGCAGAAGAGTTCTGCTGTATTTAGAAAGATCTGCATACAAAATTGGTCTTGATGGTATCTGAAACTCAAATCTGGGGAGTGTTACCACTATTCCAAAAAAMCCATCTCTAACAGGTAAGAGTCTTTTTCTTAGCTGGAAACTATAATTGGTAAGCAATACAGTCACATCAGCATTTGCCATTAAGTTTTCTGATTATGTTTTTGTACTTAAGGTTTTGTGTACAAGTTAGGTTCATTGTTTTCTATGTCACTGTTCAGGAAAAAGATATAAGGAAAGCCAYCCCAGTAGTATCGTACTTCATAGAAAGTTTTAGAATACATTCTATCTTAGCCCTGCTGTATATCCTGGGAAAAGTAAATGCCTGGCCTCAATTTCTTCATCTGTAAAACTGTAATAATAACAAAATCTACCACAAAAGGAGTCCTAAAGATTAAATGAATTTCTACATAAAGTACTTAAAACAATGCCTAGCACATAGTGTTATATGTGTGTTATTACTATYTCCTCACATTTGAACTCCAGATTTTATTCTTTTGTGACTTGAATTGAGTTCTGATATATTTGAATCTGTAACATTTTATAAAACATAGAAATGCTAAATTAAAAAAAAAGTTTAATGTACAAATAGTAAAAATCAAACTATAGGGCTAGAGGTGTAGCTTAGTGACAGAGCATATGCTTAGCATGCATGAGGCCCTGAGTTTAATTCCTAGTGCCAAAAAAAAAAAAAAAAAAAAGGAAAGGAAAGAAAGAAAAAACCCTAAACTATAAATACAGAAATGTTTTGGTCTCAAAATAACAAAACTGAAATTAAATGCTGGGAATAAATTCAAATTTAACATAAACATTTCTTTCCATACAGAGTGGAAGTACGAAATCTAAAACAAACAAAAGCTGTCATTTGGTAATATAAGTAATGTTATTGTGAATGTCTGAGTATCTAGAGTCTCATCTTCCAAATATTTCAAAGGAAGTGGAAATAGAACAAAAGGAGGAGCCACAGTAAGAGCAAATGTAGCACAAGAAAATGAAGATGGTATAAGATAACCAAGGTCCTCAATGCAAAAGTCACGCAACTTTTTTCCTACTTATAGCTATTTTTATACTCAATTTACCAAGATCCATTTTATATAGCAGTCTATCCACTCCTCTCTATTTTAAAAATATGTCTAGTGTATATGAGTAAATTGTAAAGTATGTACAGCAAGACTTAATTGATTCACTAATCTTCTGGGTTCACCCCGGAACAGTTCACCTAAGTTCATCTAAGTTTGGACTCTTAGAAAAAAGGAAAGATTCAGGGAAATAAAATTATGAAAAACCAGCCACACCAAAAAATATCTATCTTAATCCAAGTGGGATTAAAGAAAAGCTTCAAAACAACCATCATGCAACTAGAAAACGAAATAAAGAGTTATGGTAAGGTTTTCAGATTCCAGATTCTCAGCTATTCAGAACAGAGAACAATAGCCTATGCTAAATCATGGTAATAAATAACCTATTGCTACCTTTTATTATTATGGGCACTTGGGACTTGGGACTTGGACTTCAAACCTACCAGCATTTCAGAGCCATTAAAAGACAGCACGCAATGTAAGAGGTTCTCTCTATCAAGATGACAAAGACCATCCCTGGGAGAAACATTTCCAGAGGTAATAGATAACTGGCAACATAACTAGTTAGGAAAATACTGAAATCCAAAACTCAATTCACACAGCAAAGCTATGATCATCATTCCTCTGAAAATAAGCTAAATCCAACTAGTTCATTTTGCCTTTCCATTACCAAATCATGTAAGAAAATATTACACCAAATAATATATCTCTTTTATAGATAAGAAGTCAAATTACCAAAGTATTTTTAATAGTGAATTAATTCAAAACTCACCATTGCAAACACACTGACAGTTGGTTTCTTTTCCTCCTTCTTTTTACTGAAAAATATAGCAAAGGAGTTACACAAAACTTTAAAAACTACAAAATTTTTTAAACTAACAAATTAATGTAAAAGTTTATRTTTAGTGACAACTGAAACAAAGAAAAATGTCCATAATGTACTTTTTAATTAAAAAATCATATTTAATAGTATGATATCATTTATGACGTTCAAAAATAAATATGCTTACATTTATCTTAGAAAGATATGGCTGTAGCTCATTTGCAGAGTACTTGCCTAGCATGTATGAGACACTGGGCTTGATTCTTAGCACCACATAAAAATAAACAAATAAAATAAAGGCATTCTGTCCATCTAAATTACRAAAAAAATTTTTTTTAAAGATGTACCATGTGATTACCACTGGATACTATCTATAAAAATATTTTCTTACTTGTACCTTAGATACTTCCTTATTTTCTACGATGATTACACATATACACACTCCTTTTACAATTAAAAAATATATACTAAAAATGAGTCTCCTATTTTTATCCTAGTTTAAAATCACTCATGGGTTCCGGCAGTAGATATTCTATTTATCTACTACCTAGATATTATTCTTAATCATTCCCTGTACTAATGGAGAGCAGAGGTGATCAGATGTTGGGATTAACTAACCTAAGGAAAAAAGTAATTCAATCACTCTATCAACAAATCTAATTCTGAAAGGATGTCTGGAGCCCTAAGTGAACCATTATGAAAATAAATGCAATCTAGAAAAACTGTTCTCCAAAAAAGATGTTCTGTAAACTGTCAAAAAGCTGTTCTTGGGCTGGGATTGTAGCTCAGTGGTAGAACACTTGCCTAGCATATATGAGGCACTGATTTCAATCCTCAGCACCACACAAAAAAATGAAATAAAGGTATTGTGTCCACCTACAACTAAAAAAATATATTAGAAACAAAAACGCTGTCCTTAGGCATAAAAACCTCAGTTATCATTTTGAGCCTAGATTCAAATGCCTGTAACTCAGTAACCCACTGTATATAACTACCACCTAGGCAGGGAAAGCAAACAAACCACAACAAATCAGCTTCAGCTGCATTTTTCATACAGATAAAAGACTATTTTTTTTCAAAAAAATAGCATTAGTTTTTCATGGATTTCTAAGTTCAAAAAGTAAATTAAAAAAAAAAGGAAATTCGTCTTTGTTCTTTACACCAAGTGAGGTCAAAAGAGGTGAAGAGACTTCTAAAGAAAAAATCCAAAGTTTACTCATGTTTGGCTTCTGAGCAATGTTAGACGCAAATAAATACACAAACATTTTCAGGTTTGGCTCCACCCTATTCCCAGTAAGGGCCTGGTTTCCATATTCCTGGGGCCAGGATGGGAGAAGAGAAATAGCCATAAATAGTAGAGTTTTAGTGCTGAGCTTTTTATTTATTTATTTATTGTTCTCTAAAACTGATGCTACTTGGGAGAACTAGAATGTCCCAGGCACCAACTGTAAGCACTTCCTATACATGATTCATAAACAACTGTCCAAGGCACATTTTGTCCTTTTAGAGATGAGAAAACCACAGAGGAGCAAGAAGAGTTTACTAACTTATCCAAGGTCCCATGCCTGGRAAAAAAGCTAAGATGTAAACTGCAAAGCCTTTCTTCTGATCACCAAAGCTGTAAGGTGTGAGCTCAGACTTCTGAGATGCTGCACTGCCTGTAAGTACTTTCACATGAACTCTCTCCCCTGCTACTTTACTCACTTACCCCTGCAGCATGAAACARTGCCTACAAAGGCAAGCAACTCATCAAACATCACTTTAATGAAGAAAGTTTGTAAATACAGATATCCTCAGTTAGTGCTCTATTCCAGCTTTATCTATTTAGTAGAGCCAAATACTTCTTCACAATTTATGTTAACAAACATAGTTTTAAGAACAGACCAAAGTCAATGGTGATGGGCACAGTTAATTAGGAATCACTTAACTAATTAAAGAATGGTCTCTAGAGCTGGGGCTATAGCTCAATGGCAGAACACTTCCCTAGCATGGGTGAGGCACTGGGTTCGATCCTCAGAACCACATACAAATAAGTAAGTAAAGTTTAAATTCTAAAACAAACAAATAAACAAAAAGAATAGTCTCTAATTTGAAAATTCTGTAGACCATTTCTGCAGACCATGATAGAACCAATAATTAATGAAGAAATGAAGATGTGTAAAGGATCAAGCAATTTTCTTTACCAATTCTCTCCATAAATCCCTCAAAACTTCTTACATAAATACACCTAAATGTTTCTGTCTTAAGAACATAGTTCTTTAAGCTACCATGTTTTTTAAAAAAAAGGTCAAAAAACCAAAAGACTTCTTGAAGTCTTTTTCTTTGTTTACATGTAAAGCTTTTATTGTGGAAAAACTTCAAATAAACAGAAAAAATGGAAAGAATAGTATAATGACTACTCACATAACTCATCTAGATTCATCAATTACTAATTTTTAACCACATTCTCTTTGAGAGTATACACTGACATTTGTTAGTATTTTGATAAACTATTCAAAAGCAAGTTGCAAATATGGAATCACACATTCTCCTACCATTATCACATYTATGAAAACTAATAACAATTTTAATATCATCTAGTATCAAACCCACATTCAATTTTCCCAAAAATGCTTTCTATAATTTTTTGAACTCTAATTTAATCAAAACTCATATGTTACATTTGGTGGYTATGTCTCTTTTATCTCTCTTAATCTAGAAGTCCTTATTTTTTGTCTTTTGACACTGACCCTTTTATTTTTTTATTTATTTATTTTTTTTTTTAAGAGAGAGTGAGAGAGGAGAGAGAGAGAATTTTTTTTTTTAGTATTTATTTTTTAGTTCTCCGCGGACACAACATCTTTGTTGGTATGTGGTGCTGAGGATCGAACCYGGCCGCACGCATTGCAGGCGAGCGCGCTACTGCTTGAGCCACATCCCCAGCCCAACACTGACCCTTTTAAAGAGATAAGAGCAGATGAAGAATGTCACATTTCTGGATATAACTTGTCCCACATCTTGAAGATATCTGTTCCAAATTGAGTACAATAAAGATATACAGTATATGTAAAAGTGTACATCAAATTGGAGTACTTAGTTTGAAAAAAGAATGTAAACTATCTTATTAATAATTTTGATTATATGTAGCAATGACTATATTTAGAAATATTATTCAATTAATTTTAAAAAATTAATTTCAATTGATACTAGAAATTTTTAAATGATTAAGTACAGCCTACATTATATTTCTGTTGGACAGCACCATAGTCTAGAAGCTTGACTCGGTTCAAATTAGTGTTTGCAAACATACCCTGTTTATAATATTGTGTACTCAAATTCCATTACATGCTAAGTAACTTAACATAGTCTGTTCCACCAAAAGTGATGTTAAATCTGATCACTTGGTTAAGGTGCCAACTACAAAATCTCTGACTGGACAGGTACCTTTTCCTTTTCCCATTAGTAAGAATTGTGGAGATAACTGTTGGTTACAATTTCTCTAAATAGTTTATGTTCCATTGATAATTCTTGCCTAGATCAATTACAACAATGCAGTTTCTAATACAATCACTGCATTTTTCTGTCAATGTTCCTTTATTTTCTGTACCTCTCTCACCCTCTTCCAGTTTCCTTCTTCTCAGTTTATAAAGGATTCATCAATTATATCCTATGCAGTATCTCAAAATCAATTACAGCTATTGTTTCCCTTGATGCTCAAATTGTCCCAGACTTAACCAGAGGAAATCTGTCCAAACTTCCTCCTGTGTCTTCTGACTACTTCATTAACCTTCACTTCCCTGTTTTCAGGTATCACAAAGTACCCTAGGTCTCTTTGTATTTTTCCTACCCAAGACTTGGCTAAAATTAGCTGTTTTTCTATGGGGTGCTCATTCCATTTAGTGAGCAACAGTATTTAAAAACAAGATTTGGCATTAGGAGCACTTATTTCTATTGTCCCTTTCAGTGTATGGAAAATGAACTATTAAATAACCATAAATTTATATTGAAGTTTCTAATTCATATTTAACATTATCTTGATTATTTKATTTACACGTTTGCTTTTGTTTTCTTATAGTGAAAAGCTTGTTTTCTAATAATACTGATATATTTTCTAATTGGTTTTGTCTTACAATTTACAACTTTCTACTAACAATGTACCTATTGAGTGAAGTGTAAAATTTCTTGCAAAGGCAGACCACTGTGATAAACTTTACTTACTTTCTCCCTGTAATTACATCACCAATTTTATATATAGTCACTAAAAGTTAAAGTTAAAAAAAAAAAAAAACAACAACCCTAAGGGTAAGTTTGGCTTTCTGTTCCATCGGCCATACCACAAATATGCATTGTTTAAGTAGCTGTTTATCAGAAGCAAGGTACTAAACCACAAGAGCTGAGCCTACGAAGCATATGGTGCTGGTGCGTGGGCGATCAATATTGCTTGTAAAGGAGAAGTCAATAAAATTTTAAAAAGGGATGTTGAGTACTGGCCTGTCTGGGGCCAGGAAGCTGTGGAAAAAGCCTCACCCAAGACCTAGAGAGGATGCAAAAACTATGTCCAGTTCAGCCAACTGCACTTCTACTCTAAGCAGAGAGTGTGGGGACTGTTTCCAAAGGCTGACTTGGATATCTTAAGATCAACATAATAATCACCAACAACATTTATTTCAGGGCTGAAAGCTGTAAACAAACTCCCCAAATCTCTCAAGCGCTATAAACTAGAAATGTGAAACAAACTGGCTACCTTTTTTTGTTGCTCAGCTTCAAGGAGTTCTCTCCTTCTTTTCCATTGACGTCCCCTTCAAGCTCCATCGCGACCTGGGAAGAAACCACAGTACATTAGCCAAATAGCCCCTAGGAGTTAGAGGGGAGGCTGACCTCTACTCCCCAGCGGATCCCAGAGTGCGGCAGGGCAGAGCACTAGCCCTGATGCACCAACTGCCCAGGCGATGATGGTCACGATGGGTTTCTCTGGGCTCTGGGCTGCCAGCGCTTACA